AGCGGGCTGTTTCTTGGCAGCAGGGCTCTTGTGAGGGAGGTGGGCAGAGGGCAGGGGCATTGTCCCCTGTCCTGCCAGGCAGCCTAGGGACCTCACCGTCAGAGCTCCTGCACCCCATGCCCGGTCCCTAGCACTGTCCTCCAGTGTCCCTGGGGTCCCAGCGCACCCCCAGGCTCTGTCTACCTCACACATCCACCCCCATCTCTGCCAGCTGTCCCTGGTGGTCTCCTCTCTCCCTGCCCCTCGCCGTCTCCAGCTCTGCCCCTCATTTGTGCCCCTCTCCCCTGGCCCATGCCCCCTCTCTGTCCTCCTGTCCCCCCTTCTCCCTCTGGCTGCCCTCTCCCTCCCTTTCTGGGGCCTCAGCCTGCTTTCTAAGACCGTCTGCAAGGTGGTGAAGGTAGAAGGGAGCGGCCACAGCCGCAGCCCCCCAGGGAGAGGAGAACAGGCTGACTATTATGGGCTGTCAGGTGCCATAGTTGTCAGAGTCCAGGCCGAAGGGGCTGCAGAGCACTCAGGGCTGCGTTTGCTCACAAGTCTGTGCGTGTGTGTGTGTGCGTGCGCGCCCGCAAGCATGCATGTGGCATCTTGCCCTGACATTGGCTCTTCCTCCCCTGCCCAGACACTTGGGTGACTGCTTCTGTCCACTTCCAGCGCTTTTTCCTGCCCAGAGGCTCAGCCTTGGCCCCTCTGCCCCCAGATGTTGCTGCTCCCTGCACCCTGTTCCCCTCCAGCCCCCCAGGCTCTGTCTGAGGTGGGGCCGGGGATCTAGGAAGCCTGGGGGCTCCAGCCAGGCCTTGGCCCACCTCTGCCCTGTTGTGAACCCGGGTCCCCAGATGAAAGCCAGGACCATGGCAGCAGAGCAGTGTTCGGGTGGGAGACTCCCGCTGCTTCCTCGGGGCCCAGCGTCTGTGACCTCTAGCCGTTCCTCACCTGTGCAGCGAGGGGCGTGGGCCGTGTTGTGTCTCTCTTCTGGGTGATTTGCATGTGCTTTGCATATATTAATAGTGCCTGCTAGAAGGGGGAGAGCACCACCCACACCAGCCTGGGCCCACCCACCGTGCCCACTGCCCTTGCCCATTGGCTGGAGCTGGAAGTGGAGGCCAGTGTACCTCGGGGAGGTGGGTGTGGCCCCAGGACCTGGACCGGCTGGGGAGGCAGTGATGGCCTTGCCGTGCCCTGTGTTCCTGCCGCAGAGGTGGTGCACGCCTGTGATCCCAGCACTCTGGAGGTGAGTTCCAGAGTTCAAGGCCAGCCTGGACTATGTGGAGTAACTCCTTTCGGCCCAGTCACCTGTCCCCACAGGGCCAGGTTGGGGTAAAGGTTGATAGCCTGGAGATGACCCTGGCCCACTGGGTTGTGACAAGATTCTGAAGATGGCCCAGACTGCCCTCCACCCCTGAGAAGACAGGATCAGAGGAAGTACAGCGAGAGCGAGGAGCTTAGACTCTTGGGGGGACACCCCAGTGGCAGATGGGCTTCTGATGGAAATCAGATGGAAGAGCAGCCAGAGCGCCCGCCCAGGGTCTGACACATACACACACCCCATAAACATACGGCAGGGTGGGGGGACAGGCAGATGTCTGGGAATCCAAAGACCCCATGATTTTAGGGTTTGGCATAGGATGAGGGGCCGAGGGGCCACTCCGAGAAGAGCTCTCTCTCCCTCACTCCACCTGTGGACCCCATTACCCTGGGATCCTCCCCCACCCCCTCTTCCTCCTCCTCTGTGAGAGGGCACACAGCGGGTCCGGAGGCTGGAAACCCGCTCCTGTCCCGCTCCCCGCGTCTGTGCAGGACAGTTTAGGAGCTGAGGCAGCAGGACTGGACATTGGTGGGGACTGGAAGCTCAGCGCTAGGAAGGGGGCTCGTGCCATACCCGGGGGCGGCTTCCCTTTGACCACTGGGCACCCTCAGGACCGTGGCTGTTGCAGGGGTGAGGGCGGAGCGGGGAAGCTCCTCTTCCGTTCCCCACGGCAAAGCTCCGTGTGAAGAGCTTGGAGCCGTGTCAGGGTGCTGCTGGGTGGCACTGGCCTTCCTCCGCCCTCTCTGGTCTGCCCCATGCTTGGTGAAGTACAGGGTGGGACTAGGCTTCTTGAAGCTCCCTTCTAGTTGCCGCGGCTCCACCTGTGTCCTCTCTCCTGCGATATCTCTGCTGGCACATGACGGTCAGCAAGAATGTTTCCCAGTTTTGGCTAAACCAGAAATGGGAGATTTGGGCCAAAGGACTACTGAGCCTGCGTGCACTTGTTTGTATCATACAAATGGCGCCTCCTACCTCGGAGGTGCACCTTGTCCAAATCCACCCTGCAGCCTAGAGGATGGATTTGGGAGCAGCTGGAGGACCCCGCTACCACCTAAATCGGAAACTCTTCTCCCACCCCAGCAAAGCTACCTTTGTCACACTCCATTCCACCCAGGGATGGAAATCCAGTCCGTGTTTTCCTCCATACGGCCTGTCCTGGCGGCTCAGCTCCCCAACTCCTCCTTCCCGGTTCCTGGCACGGGCAGCCGGGTCACCTGGCTGCCTGCATGTCCCGGAACGGAGCGACTAGACCCTGGAGAGGAGTTGGGCTGGACCATCCTTCCACCCCCACCTCTGGGGCATCCTCACCCCAGTGCGCTGGCTTCTTTACATCCCAGCCACAGGGCACACTGGAGACCCCAGACCTGTACTCGCAGGGGCTCCCGGACCCTGTTACCGCAGAGGGGTCCCTGCCCAGGACCCTTCCCTCCAAGAGCCCCAAAGAGGTATGTGTACCCAGGGCAGGAGGCAGGGGAGGGCCGTGTCTCGTGGTCCCCCAGACGCAGTGGGGGCGTCCCTGGCATCCTCCCAGAAGCCAGCAGCTGCCTCACTGGGGAGGGACTAAGGATGCATCTCAGCTCCCCCATACCTCCGTGCAGCCAGGCTCTCTGCTCCTCTCCCGGGCCATCCCCGCCCACACAGTTCCAGCACCGGCCAGATTGGCTGAGAAGTCCCCCATGCCTGTCCCTAGTGACTTAGAATTGGAAAGCGAGGGCCCTGGGGAAGCAAGGGCTCTTAGGAGGGATACAGACCCTCCCTCTGTCACAGGCAGGGCAGACAGGAAGGGGCTGGGGAAAGCTAGAAGTCATTTAGGTATGAAGTTTAGCTCTTCCCCTCTCTGGCTCATCCAGCAGCCTAGGGTTAGAATCATCCACCTTCCCTGGGCGTGGTGCCACACACCTGTAATCCCAGCACTTGGGAGGCTGAGGCAGGAGGATCGCTTTTGAGTTCAAGGCCAGCCTGAACTAATAATGAGACCCTTTCTCATCCCCCCCACTATTAATAATAATAGTCTGGTTCCGTGCCTAGACTGAGACAGACACTGAAGAAAATTTTGTCCTCCTAGCCAATTGCATTGGCCTTGGGAGACAGTTTATGCTGGAACTTGCAGTGGGAAGAGGTTAGACTTCAAGCAGAACTTCCCGGAGCACAGAGCTGGCAGGAGGGTTGGGAAGGAGTTTACCAGTGGGCCAGGAGCTCAGGCGCTGGGGTCGGGCAGATCAGGGTCGAATCCCAGCCCTGCCATCCCTGTGCACCTGTGGTCTGAGGCGAGTTGCAATCAAGCCCTGTGACCTGAGCGTGTTAGTGGTGGATTCTTCCTAGGACGGCTGCCGATCCATGAGGAGGTGAGGCAGAATCCGGCTGCTTTGTGACTTTCAAGGCCCAGTCATGTGCTTGTCTGGCTCTGCCCCCTCTCGTCCGGCTGGGTCATGGACGGGGCCTGCCTTCCTTGGCAGAGGGATGGGACACCTGGGTAGGAAGGAAGCCAGGCCTCCCAGCTCCTGCCCCCCATCCACCTGGCCCCGTGGCCCTGTCCAGGAGCCCCCTGGGGCCAGATCCATTAGTGACCATCCGTGATTTCTTCCCTGCTCAGTATCCCAACATCTGGGGATGCCAGCTGTTTCTCCCTGGGATGTCCGCGCCTTGGGTAATCAGTGGGAAAATTGGAAACGAGGTTGGCAGAGTCTCCGCCGGACGTGCTGTGGATATGGATGGGCCTACGCCAGCAAGGGAGGCTGTGCCCAGGATGCCCAGGCCACAGTCCCAGGAAGGGGTCTTAATGCCACCCGCCTGCCTGATCAGGGCAGGGCCGAGAGGCGGAGCTGGCTGGAAGGGACTGTTCCAAAAGATGGGCCCGATGGCTGGCTGCGGGCGCCCTGCCGGGCCAGTGGGAGCAGGCGAGCGCGCGTGTGTGTGAGCACCCGGTGCCCTCCATGCCTGATGCCCGTGTTCCCTCCAGTGCAGGCAGGGCAAGGGTGACGGGGCAGGTGGGGGGCGTCCTGGGGACAGGGATGGCAGCACAGCAGTGGTGGATGGCAGGTCCCCCTGGCTCCGAGCCCCTTGCTTTTCAGGATGGGTGACACTGGGTGGGGGCAGAGATGGGCACCCCAGGAATGGTGTGCGCTGGTGGTTTCTGGGAGGAGAACCAGGCCCACCTCGCTGACTGTCCTGTCCCAGCTCTGGGAAGCGCATTTTCCATGTTGTCCTGCTGTCTGTCCTGTCCTGTCTCCCGCTGCTGTCCGCCCCTCCGTTCCCACTCCTCCAATACCCAGTCTCTATCCTGTACCCCCTGAGACCCTGATGACCCCAAGGGACAGCTCCTAGGCTCTGTCCTTCTCCCGCCCCCTCTGGGGCCCCGCCCCCTCTGTCCAGCGCCCTCCTCCTGGCCCCGCCTGTCCTCGGGCGTTCATTCACGACTTTCCTCCTTTCCTGTCCCTCACCCAGGGCTCCAGCGAGCGGCGGGAGGGAAGCCTGCAGGACTGTGCTCCCTCTGTTTAAAGTCTCCAGGTTAGTAAGCGGGGCAGGGAGGCGCCTCCCCCCAGTCAGAGCCCCTCCCCCGACCCTGGGGGGGCACCTTGCCTGACAGAAAACGTTGTGCACGCGTGAGCATGTGTGTGTGTGTACATGTGCTTGGTGTGTGCCCGTGCTGCAAAGCCCCTTTGTGGTCCGGGGCTGGGACAGGGCAGGAGGCAGGGGTCCCCTGCGGAGGGGCTGGTGGCTTGGGCGGAGGACGCTGTGTTCCTGTGCTGGCCAGAGCTAGGGGATGCGTGGGGATGGCCACCTCCAGCCCCGTGCAGGCTTGGTGTGTAGGTTAGAGCAAGCCTGTGAGCCGAGGTCGCTTACACGGGGATTCACGAAAGACCCACTGACTGTCCTCTGGGTCAGCCCCCACCCAGGAGGGGACTGCGGTGGCCCAGCCAGGGACCCGCCCTCTGGGCTTGAGCAGCAAGGGTTCAGGGGCCCGGCTGAGCAGCCCCGACACCTCTACCTGGGGCCTGGCAGCTGACTGTGGGGCCCTGTCCCCCGGAGGAGGTGACAGTGTCTGCTGGCGCCCCAGCAGCTCCTCTGTGAGCCCTGTCGCTGTCATGTGTGCCCCGGCCTCACGGCACCCTTGCGGTGACCCCACCCGGCAGCAGTGCCTGGGCCGGGTAATGACGCTGGGCTCATTGTCAGGTTATTTCAGAGGCCAAGTCAGAGGGCGACCAGGAGCCCAGCGGGCGTGGGCGTGGGCGGAGGCTGGGCTTGGCCAGGGCTGGACACCGAACTCAGGAGATAGTGGCATTCCAGGCCCCGTGAGACCTTGGACGAGCCCCGTCCCCCCAGAAACCACATCGTTCCGGCCTGCAGAGAGACAGGGACCCCTCCACACACACACCGGCAGGCTGGCGAGAACAGAAAAGGCAGGGCGCTGGTCTGGCACCCACCCTGTCCTCGGGCTTGGGCAGGCTGCACTAGGGGCTGGTGGCACTGCCCACCTCCACCAGTCAGGCCTGGGGAGCCCTGTCTTGGGGTCAGGCTCCAGCCTCCATCCCAACCCAGGTGGGAGGCTCTGCCACTGTGCCCAATGCTGTCACTGTGATAACTTTCTTTGTTTTTTGAGACAGGGTCTCACTGTGTGTCTGGGCTGGCCTGGAATTTGTGGCGATCCTCCTGCCTCAGCCTCCCAAGCTCTAGGATTACAGGCCTGCGCCACCTCGCCTGGCCTCCTGATGGCTTTTTAATAGCTTTGCTCTGAGACAATGTACAGAACACTCATTTGTCTGCCTCTTAATTAAAATTACTGTTTTCCTAGAAGAGCAATGGATCCCTCCTCCCTGTCCTCTCCTGCTGCCACAGGAGTAAGGCAGAGCCACAGGAGTCCCTAACCCTTTATCCCCTGTCCCTGGTAGTCGCCCCCTCTCCACAAAACAGCAGGGTGGGGTGGCCCAGGCCTAGAGTGGGGATGTTGTCTCTCATTCAGCCTTTTCTAGATTATCTCCAACGATGGGGAGCTCAGTACCTCCCAAGATTTACTTTTGCTGGGAGGATGGGGGTTGAGATAGGCTCTCACTCTGTCAGGCTGGCCTTGAAGTCACTGTGTAGCTCCGGCAGGCGATCCTCCTGCCTCAGCCTCTCAGTGCTGGGATCACAGATGTGCGCTCCCTGGGGTGCTGGTTTCAGGTAGAAGCCACCATGTTCCCTCTGTAGCTTGGAGCAGGGAAGAAGGATGCAACGGGTAGCGTAGCGGTGCCAGAAAACCTGTCACCAGTAACTGAGAAAGTGCAGGTGATCAGCGTGTGTCGCGTGTGTATGGCCACGCGTGCAGTTCATTTCCTGCTCACCAAGGCCCCTGGGCTGAAGGCTGCTGCCACCTCCACTGGGGAGCCGGTGGAGAGACCTAAGGGGGTAAGCAGTGCACCCCAACCCCAGCGCTGCCATCAGTCCAGCACCTGCCTTGTGCTGTGGGTGGAGTAGTTTCTGCCTCTGTCTGGACCCCTGGTCTCCTCCGTGGTCCGCGGGGGACGCCTTCTTCGCCCAAACCCGCTCCCCCTCCGGAGCTGACCTCTGGTGGCCAGGCGGGGGGGCCCACAGCCCCAGGAGACCTGGCCTTTGCTTCTCTGTGCCTTTGCTCTGTGGTCCCAGAACAGCGCCTGGCATATGTGCAGTTGTGCAGTCACTCAGCAGTTGGCACCCGCCAACTGTGTGCAGGACGGAGGTCAGCAGACACGGGTGGCCTCACTGTGCGTGGCCACGTTGCCACCTCCCTTTACCACCTCCTGTTTCTGCTACTGAAATTTGAAGGCACAAAACACCACTAGCCAAACCTAACCTGATCGCCATGTGGCCACAGCGCGTTCCTGGTTCCCCTGTGTTTTGTTGACCTCAACATCTAGCCTTGCCGACCCTGGCTTAAGTGTGTACTGGTTGTTTGTTGATCGACTACATGATTACACATCTGCCACACGTGGTACCAGAATTGTCTTTGATTTGCCACTGGGGGAGCTGAAGTCTGGAGAGGTAGAACGACTTGTCCAAGGTGCCACTGACGGGACATGGCCGAGGTGAGATGTGGGCTTTGTCGTGCTGCGCCCTTCTGCCTGCTCTCTGGTCACCTGTCTACAGGTGACCCGCGGCCCCTGCCATCACTGGGTGACGTGGAGCCTTGTGTGGCTGTGGCCATCCGATGTCCTGCATTCCTCGCCTGTGGGGAGGCGGGAAGGGACTGGGCACCCCTGTCCCGCCACACCCCTCCCCCTCCGCTTCCGGTCCCCTCGCGGCGTGGTGACAGGTGCCGAGCTGCAGAGATGACAGCGTGCTCGTCCCCCGTAATTACTGTCTGATGAGTCGCCAGAATTAGCCTCTGCGCAAGCACGGGATGGGGGTGCAGACACCGCGGGAGCAGCGCGGGAGGGGCGGAGGGAGCGGTGGAGGGGGGCAGGGCCAAGCAGAGCAGCCTACAACCCGAGGGCAGGAGAGGGGCTCTGGGGCCTCCCACCGGTCTCTGGCTGTGGCGCCCGTTGAGGAAGGGACCTGAGAGCATTGGGCTATACAGGTAGTGAGCTTCCCGTTCCTGGAGGTATCCAAGCCCCAGCTGGCTGGCATGGGTGGACAGGGAGACCCTGCAGTTTCACCTCCACACAGCCTGGGGACAAGGGAGGCTTTGTACCTGCCAGGCATGGAAGGGAGCTCTTGGAGCTTCTCCAAGACTGCTGCCCCCACTTCCTGCCCTAGCCCAGGAGCCTCTGCCGGGCTGGGAGGGACCTGGTGGCAGAATCTGCATCTGTCTGGGGGCCACAGGGTGTGGGGAGAGAATGGGATCTGGCCGAGAACCCCCACAGTTGAGATCAGTCCCCTCCCTTTGTCCACCTGACCGCAAAAGGCTTCCCCTTCCTGAGCCTCAGTTTCCCTCCTCCAGCAATACCCAGAGCAAGGCGACCGCAGTGTCAAGTGGCTTGGGGTGCAAGGCCTTGGGGAGCCATGGTGACCGTTGACCATGAGGGAGCCCGGGCAGAGCCTGCCCAGTGCGTCTCTCCGCCTCCCCCCCTGTCTTCCACAGCCCAGGGACACTGACCCTGAGCGGTTACCCCAGGTGAGGGCCACAAGCCCTGCAGCCAAGCTGGGGGCCCCCTTTGCCCCCTCCAGGGGTGGTGCCCGGGGAGGGACTGCGCACCTGTGCAGGTGTAGCCCAGGTCCCGTGGCAGAGTGGCCGCAGTGACATCACAGAATTGCTTAAGCTTTGGTCCTAGTGATAGGCCCCAGCCCAGAAACGCTGCCCTTGGCCAGGTGCGAGGGGGAGGTGCCCCATGGGAGGTGTGGCTGGGTGCTGAAGGGGTGAACTGGGTGCCCCTGCCTTTCAGCCTGAGCTGGAGCTGCACTGACCCAGTCTGTGGGACTGGGCCAGCATAGGTGGGTGGCTGAGGGTGCAGGAGGAGCTGGGCCACCACACTTGTGTAGGAGTCCGGTCACTGGGGGCTATTGGCACTGTCTCCATGCTGGGGTCGTGGGGATGGAATGAGGCTGGACCCAGGAGGACCGGGCCTCCCAGGAGGGCCCGAGAGGGTCTGGGCACAGCCTGGTCTTCTGCCCAGTATTTTGGTTTTTTTGAGACAGGGTCTTGCTGTGTACCCAGGCTGGCCTTGAACTTACTGCAGCCTTCCTGCCTCAGCCTCCCAAGTGCCGGGATCATGGGTGTGCACCACCATGCTTGGCCCTCGATGCATACTGCCCTTGATGAATACTGTATGGACACCCACACGGCTTCCCTGGTGACCCAGGGTGACTGGTCTGAGGCCCCTCCCCTGTTCCTGCAGCCTGGAGTCTCCTGTGAGGACCGGCGGCCCCGCCCTGGCCGTGCCCCTGCCGGACCCAGCTTTCAGGGTGCAAAGGAGGCCCCTGTGCTCCCACACTGAGCCCCCAGGGGGCAGGTGCCCAGGCAGCCTCCCCGCCCTCGCGAGCTCCGCCCTCCCCAGGCTCCTGGCTCCTTGGAGAAGGAGTCGGCAGGACAGAGCCCGCGCGAGAACAGGGCACCGAGTGGGCACACGCAGGGCTGTTCCCAGCTTTGCCAGTTCCGGCTTCAGACTCGCTTCTCCACCTGCTCTTTGCCAGGGAAGCCAGTTAGGTGTCTTCCTGGGGAGCTGAATGCCAAAGCCCACCATGAGGAATGATACAGCCTGACAGCAGTCACAACACCAACAGCTGCTCAGGCGGGAACTGGGGTCCTCACCTCCTCAGCCCTGATGCCTTTGTGCAGTGTACAACCTGAACACCTGTTTGAGAGGAGTTTTTGTTTTTGTTTTTTAAACAAACGAGCTGACAGAGGCTCCCAGAGGCCCCTGACCTCCTCAAGGTCACCTAACTCATCAGTTGGCAGAGCAGGGTTTGAGCAGAGCTTGCCCACCCTCAGATTCACTGATTTTTGGTGCTGTTACAGCTCCCAGGCTGTGTGTGGGCGGACTGGCGTGGGGGAGGAGAGGGAGGGCTGTGTCTCAGATTCTGACTTGGCTGTTTTGGAAAGAGAGGGTCGGGTCATCCTGCTGGGATCCCAGCTTCTGCGTGCTGGGCTGGGCCAGGGACAGCGGAGTGCCCTGCGCCTGACCCCGCAGGTGTGTCATTGTCATGTGGTGTCTGCCGGGGCCTGCAGAGGGCCCCTGACAGCTGCTTTCTGAGAGGCACCACAGCAGGATGGAAAAAACCCTGTTCCCAGGGCTGGGACACCTGGGTCTCGCTTCTGGCTCCCCTCCAGCTCTCACAGACCCAGCTCTGGCTGGAGCAGGGGTTTTGGGCACCGGCAGGGTGGCAGGGGCAAGGTCTGGCGATGTCTCTTTCCTCTTCCCCGCTAAGGGACAGGAGTTGAGGTGGCCTCGCCCTCCGGGGCCACGACAAGTGACAGCAGCCGGTGGCACACAGCGTGGGGAGCCGAGGTGGCACCAGCCAGAGAGGGCACTGAGGCCAGGCCTGGCATCTTTGCCCCCAGCCCCTTCCCCCTCTGGAGGTGGTTTTGAGGTCTCCACACCCCCTCTAGTCCCATCCTTCTGGGTGGATCGGTCCCCATGCCATCAGGGAGCCCCCCCAGGCTGCAGGAGGGGACGGGACTGGCCCAGTTCCTTGGGAAGCACCTGCCGCCCGCCCCTCCTCTGGGCAGGTGAGCCCCCACCCCTGTGAGGCCCTTTCCTTAGATTCCAACTCATTTACCCGCTAAGTGGCCTTCGGTGGGTTTTAAATCTGTGCAAATTGGTGTGCTTTTCTGCCTGCTGAAGCGGTGAGCGGCAGTGCCCGCATCCTCCCCTGCTCCCTCCTGGGCCCTGTTGTCACCCCCTCCCCAGCCGGCCCAGGGCCTCAGGCCACCCCCCTGAAGGGGTCCACATGGTGACCCCTGTGCCACTGCCCATGGTGGCTCTGAGGACCAGCTCTGGCCGTGGAGAAGGGTCTGGGCTGTCACCGGCCCAGGGGTCTCCTGATGCCCCCTGGCCTTGCTTAGCTTCCCTGGCACCTGGTGCCCAGGCAGTGGGCTCTGCCAGCCTCTTCCTCTCCTGTCTTCCTTCTTAGCCCCGGGGGGCTGGTCCTCCTTGCGGACCTGGTGATGCCAGCTTTCCTGGCCTTGCCCTGTGTTCCCTGGGCCTGCATCTCTGGACACCAGGAGCCCCCCTGTTGTGCAGCCCCTCTCCCCATGTGTTTGGCCCTTCCCCACCCCATCTCCCAGCCCAGGAGGGCTCCCCCGAGGTGGCTTGGCACCCAAGGCATGGTGCAACCAGAAGGTGGAGAGTCTTGGGGTGCAGTCTGGGGGCCCCTGGGTGGGAGCTGGGCTCAGACTCCCTCTAACCTTGGTCTAGAGCTTCCTCCTCCCTCCAGTCTGCACCCCGCCAGGCTCAGAGTCCCTTGTCCAAGTGACAGGGAGACTCAACAGGGCTCCGGGCATTAGCAATTTGGGGGGCTATTACACAGGAATGTTTACAGAAAGGCAATTGCCCGGAAAATGACTTGGGTTGCTGCGGTGTGAGGCGGAAAAGCTGGTTTTAGAAAACACACAGATGGGCCTCTGCTCAAAGCACCCACACACAGGTGGCCCGGTGAGAGGCACGAAGCCAGGCACCCGAGTCCCTCACTGGGCAAGGGCTGGGGCACGGCTCCCGGAACGCCTGCCAGGCTCGAGTGGGCGGGCCCCTAGGTGACCTCTGACCCCTGGGCTGCACAACCAGGGTGACAGCGTCTCGGGCTCCTGCTGTGGCTGCGGAGGGGTCGGAGGAGCTGTGCGTGTGCGTGCGTGTGCGTGTGTGTGCGTGTGCGTACCAGGCACTGTGGGGTCCTCTGCCCTCCAGCGATCGCACTGTCCTTGCCCTGCCCAGGCCCGGGGCTCCTGAGCTGACGCCCCTGTAGTCGGGGTCCTCGACTGACTGTTGGTCTCCCCGGGAGGGACCTTGTCTGGCCTCTCGGGCACCAGGGACAGCAGATGGGCGAGGTGGCCCGTAGGGGCTCCCCAGTCGCCGGGGTCTCCCAACACTTTGTCCCCTTTGTCTCACGCCGGCCTTCTCCCCCACCGCTGCTCTCTGTTCCCTCCTCTGAAAATGATGTCCTGTGTGAACATCACCCAGCCAGCGGCAGCCAGAGGACAGAGGGGCTGGTGACATCCGGGGGAAGGATGCCAGGTAGGGACGGCCTGGCAGCTTAGCAGACGGTGGGCCGAGCTGGGGGGATCTTCGTTCTCCTGAGGAGTGACAGTGATCGCATGTAAAAGAACGCAGTGCGGGATAAAAATAAATCTGGCCCATAAATAAAGGTGGAATTTAGAATCCGTGGAGCAAGTAACTGTCCTCCCGGGTGGCCACCTGCGCCTCTATCCGCGGTCAGCCACTGGGGGGCGCCCGCCGCCTCCCGATTTGCTGGGCTGAGCGGAGGGCGACAAGGGGGTGAGGGTGGGGGCCGGCTCTGGGTCCCTGCCGATGTTCCCTGTGGCCCCTGATGGCACCTTCCCGCATCTCCCCGGGAGAGCGTGGCCTCTGTAGGCTGGGGGAGTGAAGTCTTCTAGGACAGCTCCCACTTCCCACCAGAAGCCCAGGTTGCACCTCCCTGTCCCTGTGGGCCCGGCAGAAAAAAGTTGAATCCGAGGACAGCCCAGATGTGGAACCCCTGGGTCCCCTAAACCTCGGAGTCCTTCCTTGTTAATTAAAGCCAATATCTGGAAGATTCTTTTTAATTTTTAATATTTTTATTTGCTTGTTTTTCGAGACGAGGTTTCAATATGTAGTCCAGGCTGGCCCTAAATTACTATGGAGCCCATGCTGGCCCAAACTCATGGAGATCCTCCTGCCTCAGCCTCTTCAGTGCTGGGATGACAGGCCTGTGCTATCACACCAGGCTGGAAGGTTCTTTTTTTTTTTTTAAATTGGGTTCCTAAACTTTTCCATTCCAAGCCCCACCTTGCCACAGCCCCTCTGAGGCAAGAAGCAGATATCACTCTGCCCCTTCCCTCTCTGCATCTCCCAGTGCCAGCTCCTAGCTGTTTTCCCTGCCTGGGCACCTGGGTGTGAGGGCTGCCTGCTGTCCACACCTGCTCCCTGCAGCCCCTCAACCCGCCCTCATCTGCCTGGGAGAACAGGGTGAGTCCTGGAGTCCCATCAGTCCCTGCAGCCTCAGACCCATGCGCACCGGGTGTGGTAGTGCACGCCTATAATCCCAGCACTCGGGAGGCAGAGGCAGGAGGATCCCTGTGAATTCAAAACCAGCCTGGGCTCCATGGTGAGTTCCAGGTCAGCCTCAACTACATAGTGAGACCCTGTCTCAAAAAAAAAAAAAAGTGAAGAGGGGGGATGGGGGGTAGCTCAGTGGTGCCTCATCTGCCTGACAAATGCAAGGTCCTGAGTTTGATCCCCCGTACCAAAAAAAAAAAAAAAAAAAAAAAAGAGAGAACCCTAAAACAGGCAGAGTGGTGCACGCCTGTCTCCCCAGCACCCTGGGAGGCTGAGGCAGGAGGGTTGTGAGTTTCAGCCTAGCCTGGGCAGCTTAGGGAGTTAGGGAGATCCTTTCTCAAAACTCAGTGAGGAGGCTGAGGAACAGATGACTGGGGGACTTGGGGAGACCTGTGCCCTGCAGGGGGAGCAGCAGAAAAACAGGGAGCCGGTGGGTGCGGGGCACTGTGGTACAGTGGTCAGTGCTGTCCCAGTACTGACCGTCCTCCGCCCACCGAGGGCTGTGTGGCCATCACAACCCTAGTAGATGACAGGTCGAGCCGGACTGTGTCGCTCCCGTGGCTTGGGGTGTCACGGGGCTTCTGAGCCTCGATAGTGATCTCTGAAACAAGGGTCACAATACCTCCCCCCACACCTCAGCCATGGGGGCGTGTGTGTGTATGTGGTTGCTTTTCTGAGACAGGGTCTCACTATGTAGTTCTAGGCGAGCCTCAAGCTTAGGGTGATCCTCCTGCCTCAGCCTCCTGAGTGCTAGGATCACAGTTGTGCACCACCACGCCTGGCCACAGCTTTTCTTGAAATGCAGTAGGGTGTTCTCTTTCCTCCTGTGGTCGGGCAGAGGGTGTCCGAGGCTTGGCACCAGGCCTGTGGACGGTGACGGTGTCTGGGAAAGAACCGCATGGCAGGGGCTGCCACTCAGGTGAAGGGTGTGAGGTGGGAGTGTTGTACGGGGCACTGCTTGTCTCCCAAAGGGGTGACTTCTGGGCCACACAGGACAGATCTGTCTCACGCGAGGAAGGTGGCTGGGGTGGGTGCCACCCCAGAGCCAGATGCCCTCAGCCTGGGACTTGGTGATGTCCCCGGTGGGCGGAGGGGCAGTGGCAGGGCCAGGCCGGGGCAGCCAGGAGTGCAGAGTCAGGGTGTGGGTGGGACCCCTGCCCCCGGCCTGCCCTCCCCACGTCTGTGCTGTCCTCTGTCCCTTGTGCCCCCTCTGGGGTCTCGAGCTCGTGTGTGTGTTGGGAGGAGACACTGAAGATGGAACCAGCAGGCTTGCACTGTTCTGTGCGCTTTCTCTCTCCTTTGAGTCTGTCGCAGTCCATCTCCCACTGTCCTCTCTGTGCCCAGCCTCTCCTGTCTGTCTATCTGTCTGTCTCTGGGGCGGGAGGGGAGAAGGGTCCCTGTGCCCCTACCTGGGCCCCCAGCCCCTTGGGCAGCTCCTGTGGGTCCCAGCCCTGCTCGGCCCCCTTCCTACAGCCCCAGCCCCAGGGTCCTGTGATCTCAAGTGCTGGTCCTGGGGGCGCAGGGGCCCAGCCCTTCTTAGAGGAAGAAACGCAGTCCCACCCGCCCCCCC